AATGAGCACTTGGCTTTCTCTGCTGCTCCCAGGCAGACTCTGCTGGATCCCCTTGCCTGTGCCCTGGCAGAGCAGGTCCATTCCTCACAAAGATCCCCAGAGACACAAGTACGAGTCTTGCTGTGGCCTCAGACCAATGTTTCCTGGGGCTGGGGACAGATAGCCACGTTGCTCCTGAAAATACCTGTCAGGCTAGTGGGCAAACCTGTGGCCATTCTGCTCACTCAGCTCTCAAACTTCTCCATGTGCCCAAACACAGGGCTGCCTATCCCTGCCGAGCAAATCTAGTGGTGACCGAATGGTCACGCTGACCTCACCAGACTCTCTGGTTCACTTACTCCCTGATGCACACGCCTGGCCACAGAGGCAGCCAGGATGTTACTATAGGGGTTTAGTGTGATACAGCACAAATGCACATGCTTCAGGCCTAGAGAAGGAAGCTGTAATCCATGACCATGTCCTATGTCCATTGTCAGGACGAGTGGCGTTACCTGCTGTCAGGAGGGGCCATAAAGACGATGCGGGAGAACCCAGCTCCTGAATGGCTGTATGAGAGAGCGTGGGGAGACATCCTGGCCTTGAGCAACCTAAAGAATTTCTCCAGCTTCGCAGACGATTTTGCAGACAACCTTGCAGAGTTCAGAGTCATTTTTGACAGCCCCAAGCCTCACAGGTGAGTCCACCCTGCCTTTCCCACACATCAGTCTGCACATCTTGGCTTAGCTGTGCACCTGGCTGGCCCAGCCCCCAGGAAAGCATGGGGAGCCAATGAGGCTGCAGGGCTGGCTCTGCTCACGGTCAGTGTAGTGGCATGCAGGGAAGAGGCAGAGACATCTCCTTGTCTCCACAAGGGCTGCCTTTGTCCGTGCAGGCCTGGTGTGGGGTGCTGTCTGGAGCCTCTGCTCCTGGCATTGCTGCTTGCCTCAGCCCAGCATCACTTAGTGCTTTCCCAGGGGAAGCAGATGTCTGGAAGGGCCTCTTCCCCTCTGAAACCCAGCAGCTGCTGCCTGCAGACAGCTTGGGTGATTCTTGGGGAGCTGCAGGATCTGGCATGTTCCTGCAAAATGCACGTGATTGCTTTGCAGAGAGCCTCTACCTGGGAAGTGGGACACTGAGCTTGATGCCTTCCAGAAGCTGCTGGTTCTGCGGTGTCTGCGAGGAGATAAGGTCACCGATGCCATGCAGGACTTTGTGGCGCTGAACCTGGATCAGCGCTTTATTGAGCCGCAGGTAACTGACGAAAAGGAGGCAGTGGCAGGGCTAGGAGCGGAGCAGGAAGTCCTGAGCTTGTCATAAATGGGATGTCATCTCCCATTGCAGCGAGAACGCTAATGCCTCTCGCCAGCCACAGAGCAGGACAGCACAACACTGCATCCACAGCTGAGGAAACAAACACAGGGAGAAGTGAAATGACTTGCCCAGAGGCTGCCAGACAGCCCAGGCTCTCAGTGCTGTCTCCTTGGGACACAGTCACCATCCACCAATTAAACCATACTGGGAGGGGGCAGACAGCACAGGTATAGGAGGGAAGAAGTTGAATGACAAATGGGAAAGTAATCACTGCCTTGATGCCACTCCTGCCTAAAAATAGATGTACTGGGCCATTTTTGAACTTGGTTCTAGCCTCAGGACCCAGGAGCATGTCAGTAACTTGGAGAGGAGCTGGAGGACAGGCAGGATGAGGAAGGCCATGTGCGTGGTGCCTAGATATGGCCTCAGGGTGCATTCCCACAACAGACCTCTGGGTCTGAGCAGCTTTATGTGTTGCAGACCACCAACCTCTCGGCAGTGTTCAAGGAGTCCACTGCCGCCACCCCCCTCGTATTCGTGCTGTCCCCTGGCACCGACCCAGCTGCTGACCTCTACAAGTTTGCTGAAGAAATGGAGTTCTCCAAGAAGCTCTCTGCAATTTCCCTGGGCCAAGGCCAGGTAAGCTGCTGGTGGCAACCTGGGGCAGTGCTGTCACACTGGGACTCTCAGAAATCCCACTTAGCTCCAGGGAAGCGAAACACCCTGGCAGCACAGCGAGTGCCTCCTCCTGCCCCAGGGCCCTCCTTCCCCAGCCTTCTGCTAGCTGGAGGAGCTGATTCAGCAGTAAAGGCTGCAGCAGTTCCCCTTCCCATGCCCCCCAACCTCCTAAATCCATCCCTAATTCTTCCATTCCCTCCACTTTCCCCACACTATGACCCACAGGCCTGGTGAGCTGTGTAAGGGCCATTGCTAAGCTATACACAGGTGGATCCAGCTGAGCCTAGGAGACAAAGCTCAGGTCTAACTGGTGCTGCAGACTCCAGGCTGTGGCTCTGGAGGTTGAGCCTTTCAGCAGTTGTTTCGCTGTCTAGCTTGTAAGGGCACGTCCCCTAATGGACCAGGGCCCCGACCTCTTCCTGTCTGCCTCCTCAGGGCCCCCGTGCTGAAGCCATGATGCGCAGCGCCATGGAGCAGGGCAAGTGGGTCTTCTTCCAGAACTGCCACCTGGCCCCCAGCTGGATGCCTTTGCTGGAGAGACTCATCGAGGGCATTAACCCCGACAAGGTGACACCTACTCCGTAGCTGGAGACCAGGGGGAAACTAACCCTATGCTTTCACATCCCTCCCAAGGGGAGCCACCATTTTGCAGCTGCTGTAGCCACTTGCTGAAGTTTCCAGCCTTCAGGACCTTTGGTCTCACACACAAAACATAATGAAAAGCCTGTGGGTGTGGGTAGCCATGGTGCGGTGTGCAGCGAGCTGTTTTACTAAGCAGTGTGCTCTCTCTGAGGATGACAGGCGGGGAAGCACTCACCTCGCTGGAGCCCAGACCTCATTCCAGCCCATCCAAAGGTTCCCAGTAAAACTGGAGGGTTGATTCAGGAGTGGCTGCAGTGGCTGTGTCCCAACCCTCCAAACACTGCCTTCGGATTCTCCAGGTGCATCAGGATTTTCGCCTCTGGCTCACCAGTCTACCTAGCAACTGCTTCCCTGTGTCCATCCTCCAGAACAGCTCCAAGATGACCATCGAGCCCCCCCGCGGGGTCAAAGCCAACCTGCTCAAGTCCTACATTAGCTTCAGTGATGACTTCTTGAATTCTTGCCCCAAGGTAAGACCCAGGTCCTGTTTTGGGTTGCCATCCCCAGGCTGAGCCTGCTCCAATACATGCTCCCCACCTGCCCTCCGCTCCTCTCTGCATAGGAACCTTGCCCTCCACTAGAGTTCTCACAAGCTAGAGAAGGGCTGCTATTACTTCTCATCAGCCATGATCTCCTCTGTGATGGGCCAATTAGAAACGGCACTTTCGCTTTGAGAAAGAGAAGCAACAGTATTGTGGAGGCCCAGAGTAAGACACTGTAGGCCTATTTAGGCGGGAGTGTACACCCACAACCTTCCCCAGCACAACAGCCTGTCTGAGGTTTCCACCTTTTCAGACTCCGGTTGGTATTGCTGAACTGGCAGGTGGCACATCTTTGTTTCTCTCTGCTGCCAGGTCCCAGTGGGTACTTACCCCATCCAAAGTCATCTCCTCCCAAGCTGAGCACTTCTCCTCCCTGCTCCCCTGCCCACAGGTCACAGAGTTTAAATCTTTGTTGCTGTCACTTTGCCTCTTCCACGGGAACATGTTGGAGAGAAGAAAGTTTGGGCCTCTGGGGTTCAACATCCCTTATGAGTTCACAGACGGAGACCTCCGCATCTGCATCAGCCAGCTAAAGATGTTCTTGAGTGAATACACAGACATCCCATACAAGGTAAGAGCACGAGCTGGCCCCTTCTGTGGGGGGAGCGGGTTCACAATACACACGTGGATAGGAAAGCCGTCCTGTGCTCCCTTGCAGGTTCTGAAGTACACAGCTGGGGAGATCAACTACGGAGGCCGTGTGACTGATGACTGGGACAGGCGCTGCATCATGAATATTCTGGAAGACTTCTACAAGCCTGAGGTTCTAATGCCTGAGTTTGCCTATTCCGAATCGGGGATCTACAAGCAGATCAGTACCTCTTATGATCTGAGTGTAAGTATGAGTAAAAAAAACACACACCTTCATAGATCCAGGCACTAGCACAAATGGAGTCTCCTCCTCCCTGACGCCCACTGAGTTTCCAGTTCCCTGGGGGAATATAGGTTAGTAAGAACCTGGAAATCTTAAATTGCTTTCATCAATCTGCATCTGTTTCAAGTAACTGAAGGAAAATATGTCTGTTCTCACATAGTAGCTATCACCAGAATCCCCAGCTGAAAGCATTTGTACTCTGAACCATTTTGATTTAACATCAGATCAGCTGTTGTGTCAGATGCTTTTAGATTTAAGCAACTGATGAGCTTTGCTGGAGACACTGCAGGAAGCTTGCTGCTAAGCTGCCTGTTCCTGTGGAATGCGTTGGCTTCACCATGAGTGCAGTTTTATTTCTGAGCCAAACCTCGCACCATGGCCATGCCCTCTGCTCAGTCCGCAAGGCTATCTCAGAAGGGCTGCTGCTCCCTTGACCTCTCCAGCAGCCCAAGTCCTTCTGCCATCAGTCAGTCTCTCAGGACATGCAAAAGCTGCCCCCTGAGTAACAGGCGTGAATTACACATTACTGTTGTGACAGGAGACAGAGAGCTGTGTAAGAGTCAGATGAATGAATCTCAAACAGCAAGACAAGGAGCATCTTCCAGCTGAGACTGCAGGTCTGCAGTCGGCTGGAATTAGTTTACTGAACAGCCCTGGCTTAGTCATCTCTTTCGAGGCAGGCCCTTGGCAGCCCAAAGGAGCACTACAATTTTATCTCTGTGCTCTTGCCCTCCCAAACCTGCTGTCTGCCTCATGCCCACATGTGCGCTCCTCTCTAGGGGTACCTCCAGTACATCAAGAGCCTGCCACTCAATGACAGCCCGGAGATCTTTGGTTTACACGACAACGCCAACATCACCTTTGCTCAGAACGAGACCTTTGCTCTGCTGGGGGCCATTATCCAGCTGCAACCCAAGACATCCACATCTGGAGGCCGCAGCAGGGAAGAGGTGGGTGCTGACAGTCCCTAGGTGTGCCACAGCACACCACAGACTAACAGCAGGAAGCTAGAGAGCTGGGTTTGCTGATTCGCCTCCTTGTTGGATCCTGGCACTGGTGGACTCAGGGCTGTGGGCTCACCAGGCAGTTTGCTTTGCCAGTAGGCTGTAGGCCTCAAGCACTTGGTGCGGCACCCAGCCGTCACTGCAGAAGCCATGCTCAGCCCATCAGCCTGTAGCACGCATGGGCCAGGAGAGCCCTGCACCCTGCCTGACCCCAGGGCAGCAGTGCTGGGAGGTGGCAGCAGAGCCCTGTCCTGTCCATTCTCTGGCAGCCAGTGCCCGGCACCGCTTAGCCTCAAGTC